TCCCTCTCCCTCTCCCTCATTGTCCCTCTCTCCCTCCCTCTCCCTCTCCCTCATTGTCCCTCTCTCCCTCCCTCTCCCTCTCCCTCATTGTCCCTCTCTCCCTCCCTCTCCCTCTCCCTCATTGTCCCTCTCTCCCTCCCTCTCCCTCTCCCTCATTGTCCCTCTCTCCCTCCCTCTCCCTCTCCCTCATTGTCCCTCTCTCCCTCCCTCTCCCTCTCCCTCATTGTCCCTCTCTCCCTCCCTCTCCCTCATTGTCCCTCTCTCCCTCCTCTGTCATTCTGTCCCATTCCCTCTCCCTCTTATTCCCTCACTCCTCCCCTACTCTCCCTCACAGCCCTTCTGTCCCTTACCCTTGTTGTCACCATCCCTCCTTCCCCTCCCTCTTTTCTTCTCCCCCTCCCCCATCTCTCTCCCTCTCCCTCCCACACACTCGCCCCTCCCTGTACCTGTCTCGTCTGTGTGGTCAGATAGGCCACAGTCCAGTTTGCCATCACACACTTGTTGCTTGAGGATGCACCGTCCATTCCTGCAGCGGAACTCATCCTGAGTGCAGGCCAGAGTCGGACACTCCCTCTCGTCCGAGCGGTCACTGCAGTCTGCACGGCCATTACAGCGGTCACTCCCTGGCACACACTGGCCGTTGGCACATTGGAAATGCTGTGGCTCACATGTAGGCACACAGAATTCGTCAGAGCCATCTCCACAATCGTCTTCATTATCACAGACCCACACCTTTGGGATACAGCGCCCACTGTGACAGGCAAATTCCGACTGGAGGCATGGGCTGGCCTGGACACAGGGCTGACCACTGCACACCCAATGGCCCTCACGACACGTACTGCAGGGAGGCACAGACCATCACATCAGCTCACAACGTACCGCTCAGCCCATCTATCAATACTCGCTCTAAAAAGGAGCAGGTCACCCCGTGCCACTCCACAACCTTACCCCGAGCCTCCACACTCAACTTTTATACTATTTACTCTTCACAGTCCTCGAGTGAACCTGCCCCCTCGACACCCTCAGACAGTACATTCCAGACCCTAACCCCTCGAGTGACCCTCCCTCCCCCACATTCTCAGACAGTTCATTCCAGACCCTAACCCCTCGAGTGACCCTCCCTCCCCCACACCCTCAGACAGTACATTCCAGACCCTAACCCCTCGAGTGAACCTGCCTCCCCCACACTCTCAGACAGTACATTCCAGACCCTAACCCCTCGAGTGAACCTGCCCCACCCCCACATTTTACTCTGAGTTCACTAACAGTGTGGCATATTGTGCCCTGTGTTGATGATTAGGGGGCATTGATTCTCACAATTGCTCACCAGTTTTGACAGTCCTCAGTAACCACGGTTCCCACTGGAAACTCGGCATCTCCCCAGAGACAGGTACATTCCGAGGGCTCAATACATCCCGAATCTGTATCGGGAGAAACCTGGAATTATTTCAATGGGAGTATTGCTGAGACGTTGCAGGTAGAGGTCAGTGTAGGGCACAGAGCATGCATGGTGTGGAATAGTGATCAGGTAGAATTTTTCATGAAGTTTAAAAGAAATCTCGATCCTTTCTAAAGTTGAAGTTTGAAATCTAAACAAGGGATCTACATGGGAACGAGAGGAAATGGCAGGTACAGTGTAGCATTAAAATGTCCAAAAAGATGTGATGTTTAGTAATGGCTCATATTTACACGAGGAAGCTCAGAGGAACAGAAGGATCTTGGGCTGTTTGTCCAGGTTAGTTAAGAAGGCATAGGGGACACTTGTCTTTATCAGTTGTGGCATAGTTTATAAGAGCAGGGTGGTTATGTTGGAGCTGTACAGGACTTTGGTTAGGCCACAGCTGGAGTACTGTTCGGGTCCCCACACTATGGGGAGGATGTGATTACACTGGAGAGGGTGCAGAGGGATATTCACCAGGATGTTGCCTCAGGTGAAGCGATCCAGCGATGAAGAGAGGCTGGGTAAGCTCGGGTTGTTTTCTTTAGAGCAGAGAGGGTCGGGGGGGTGCTGGTGACCTGATAGTGGTGTGTAAGATAATGAGGGGCATGGACAGGATGGAGAGGAAACAGCTGTTTCCCTGAGTTGAAGAGTCGATAACAAAAGGGCTAATTTTAAGGGCTAAGCAGAAAGTCTGGAAGGAATACTAGGAATCCTTTGTCACCCAGAGGTTGGTGGGGCTCTGGAATGCACTGCCTGGGAGGGGAGTTGGGGCAGTAAACTCACAACTTTTAAAGAGTATTTGGATGGACACTTGACGTGTCATAACATTCAAGTCTACGTACCTAGTGCAGTAAAAAGTAGGATTAGTGTAGATTTAGTTTAGCTTTAGAGGTACAAACTCAATGGGCCAAAGGGTCCCTTCTGTACTCATGACTCTACATGAACAGGAAGGAAATGGATGGATATGGTCCATACACAGGCAGGTGGGATTAGGTTGGTATAGCATCATGGTGAGCCGAGGGGCCTGTTCCTGTGCTGTACTCTTTTATGTTCTGTGATTCTGAGGGGTTTTAAATCATTCATAACAAATATACATTCCTCTCAGCTACAAATTACGTGACAGAAAAGGGGATCTGATCATGGTGAACCGGATGTAATCAAAGGAAGGGGGTAAGACAGAAATGAAGAAAGGGCCAGTTAGTTATGAATTACTTATTAGTCATTAAGGAGGTGAAGTCTAGCCATTTAGAACAGTCCCAGTTGATTGGGAAGAGTCAGCCTGGTTTTATGAAAGGAGGACCAACTAATTTATTGGCTGTTTCTGAAGGAGTAATGAGCTGTGGGTAAATGGGTACATGTTCTTGGATTTCCAGGCAGAATTTCACAAGGTGCCATGTAAAACGTTCTTGTGCAAAGAAGGAGTTTGTGGTGTTGGGGGTAACTTATTAGCGTGGATAGAAGACAGGCCGGCTGGTGGAAAACAGAGAGGATGAAAATGTGGATCTTTGATTGGCAGGTTGTCACATTTTGGTTGTGGTATTTGTGCTGGACCTTGAACTTTTTACAATTTACACCAATGACATTGATCGTAGCAAAACTTAGTGGTTACATTTACAAAGGACATAAAGCTCAATGGGAAAGTATATTGTGAAGAGGATTAACACAGATGCAGTTGTGAAGTTGTTCACTTTCACAAGAATAATAAAGCTGAGTGTTTCAACAGAGAAAGGCTGCAAAGTTTGGAGGTGCAATGGGAGGTAGGTTAGGATGGACGGGCAGCATGTAATTAAAAGGAGGTTAATGGGACTTTGTACTTTAGTATTGGAGGAATTACAGCTAAAAGTCAGGATGCCACCCCCTCAGTTAAGCAGGCTCCTGTTTGTCACAATGTTACTTACCTTGACAGACAGTCCCCTCTGGGCAGAAACAACCCTCAACACAGGACAGCGAGGGGCAGCGAGCTTTTGGACCCCCCCTGAGGTCAGAGCAAGTTTGTGGACATGTAGAACCACAGGCCTCATATACTTGTCCCTTCTCGCACTGCATTGCTGCCCAACAGATAGAGAGACACATACAATCAGAGCAACTCAGAACCCAACAAACCCCAAAAAATCACTCCACTCCCCTCAAAACCACAACCCCAACAGAGAGAGAGAGAAAGAGACTATCAGATCATCCTAACAGAGACCCGAGTGTCTCCCAGACCTACCTTCTCCTGGAACCCACACCAAGTGCAGTGCCTGAATGATGAGATTTGAGTAAATGTGTTTTCTCTCTCTCTCTCTGCACTCGTTCTCCTCGATGAGAAAGGCTGATCCATCATGGGAGAAGATGATTGAAGCTGAACAAAGGTGTTGATTGGTCAGTGCGAAGAAGAGGGCAGAGCCTCATTGTCTGGGTCAATCAGAGTGAGGTGAGGACACAATGTTGGAATCAAGTCTGGTATCCCACAGCCCAAACCCAGGGATTTGGAATCTGTGGTTCCATGGGATCACACCAGGCTGTGATGGATTGATTTCTGGGATGTAAGGGATGCTAGAGAATTGTTCAACCAGGGTGAGGTGGAATACAGCAGAACAGATTCCCACTATCCCTACATTCCCACACTCACAGAGACAGAGGCTATGGCTCTGCCAGAGGCACACTCACACTGACACCAAATGATACAAAGCCTGAGGAGCTGAGCTGGGTACATACGACAGAGGTCTTGTGATCGCCAGCGGATGTAGACTCCCCTCTTGTTACATTCTTCAGTGTAGGTCGCAATGGCTGTACATAAGCACTCACAGTCACCACCTGTGTCACACCTGTACACACCCAGAGAAGAACAGTAAGATCCCAACACCCATCTCTGCTCAAATCAAACATCAACTGTCACCCTAACAGCAGGAGAAATTCCAAAAGAGGATCAGCAACTTCACCGCACAACTCGAACATTCACTTGCAGATTATCTGAAACATACAGTCCCCATGGGGATACGGAGAGTCCCAGTTTCAGTGACACACTGAGTGCAGCTGGAACGGAACAGAGACTCGGGGATTTGGTTAGTGCAGGGGTGTGTTTAGTGAGGGGGTTTGGTTAATGCGGGGGTTTGGTTAGTGCGGGGGTTTGGTTAGCGAGGGGGTTTGGTTAGCGAGGGGGTTTGGATAGGGTGGGGGTTTGGGTAGTGGGGGGGGAGCTGCGGTGGGGGGGCTGATTGGGGAGGGGGTTGGCTGGGGGGGTGGTAT